ACTATAAAACCACTTCCATTCACACAACAACCCGATACAAATTCGACATCTAAAAATGGTCCTAATTCATACGATTCCGACGATATCAAGAACATCCCAATCAGTGGAGATTTGATGGAGTTCTATGTTGGGCAAGTTAGGCATGGGCATGTGCGGGCATGGGAATCTCAAGTGGCAACCCAGAATTCCAGCCTCACTCATTCCCACGGCATCTAATAAATTGGTAGAAATGCTTACCGGCTGTGTGAGAGTTATCTCTGGCTTCATTTCTAATTTCAGCTCTTAATTCCGTAAATCTGTTGAGAAATCGCTTATTTTCTTTTATTTTCATATTTTGCCATCATTTCAGTTATTGATTGATATTCTTTTATTGATACTGTTACCCTTTTTATTATTTCGCCTAATAAGGTATGCAGGTGCCATATGGCATCAATATTTCCCATCTATTATTTCTTATAATCCTGTACATACCGGATTTTTGAAAAGAAGTTCTCCCCTCCCCAAATTCTCTAAGGTGCTAGAACACATTAGAGTTGGAGTGAGTGTGTGGAATTCAACAGTAGGAATAAGGGCAACTGTCTAGCCCACAATGAGTGGGTAGTAGATTAGTGGAGCCCGGACCTTGCGGAAATCCTGGAGAACCCACATGGAGTTTAAGGATCGAGAGCATAGCGAAGTCTAGTCAAGAGAGAAAGTAGAGGTTTTGGGAGTTTGGCCCCACGAGCTTAGTTGGCATAGAGAGCCATGAGCCCTCTTTCAGCATCATCGATCGAGTCTCAACCTTTTTCACTGATCCATCTGTCTTTATACATTTCTCCCATTGTGAAGGTACCTGGAATGTCTATATAGGATCAACACTCCGGGCACCATCAATCGAGTCTCAACCCTTTTCACTGGTCATCCATTTCTGATTCAAGGCTTCACTACTGCATTTCTCCCTGCATGTCATTGCAAATTTTACTTTGAATTTCTATATAGGATTGACACTCCAGGCGTCATCAGTCGAGTCTCACTGGTCATTCGTCTTTCATTCAAGGTTGGTTCCAGTGCATTTCTCCCTGCTGGTTATCACATTGAATGTTCCAAAGCACAAACATCATTGCTGTTACAACTACTGGTACCACAATGACCACCCCACCACTAGTCTCAACATCAGCAATCTTTCTCACATTGCTGATAGCATGGAGAAGAACCCAATAAATCCAATATCCATTAGGATTGTGAATGGATCATCTTCATTCACTGGTCCTATGTAAGTGTAAGGTTGGTGTGGGTTCCAACCTGGGTCCTCAGTCCTCTGGCTGTCAAGATCGTAGGCTGTATCGAGCTTAGATTTGACAGGGGTGAGGGTAAAGAGTAAAGAACCCTTTACCTGAGCCCAAGCCATACACATGTAAATACAGTTGTTTACATTGCATACAAAGAATAAAGAAAGCATGCAAAGTGTGCATCACTGCTCTACCACCCCCCCTGTCAAATCTAAGCTCGATACAGCCTATGATCTTGACAGCCAGAGGAGTGAGGAGTCACCCAGGTCGGAACCCACACCAACCTTACATCCTAACAAACAAAATGCGTGGGGCGCCATATCTCCAGACCGCCTGTCCAGCCAGAATTCAACCACATCATTCAGCTTGTAAACAAAATCAAGAGCCATTTCACCCAGGAGACAGAAATGCACAAAAAATACTTCAGAAGCATCAGAAATAATGGCATCCATATTAGGAGGTGTGTGGAACGTTTCATTTCAGTCTTGCAATTCCATTGCTACTCGACTTGACTCAGGTTCCTCTGGGAATGAGAGCCCACCTTGCTGTGGTCCAGAGGCTCCCCCAGCACCCAATGTGGTTGCTGTTCTTGAGTCTAAGAGGCTCTACAGGGCTCTGTGAGTAAGACGATGAAAGAGGGCTCACAGCTCTCTATGCCGACTGAGCTTGTGGGGGCCAAACTCCCTAAACTCCTACTTTCTTGACTATACTCTGCTTATCTCGATCCTTAACTCCATGGTGAGTTCTCTGGGATTTCTGCAAGGTCCAGGCTCAACAAATCCACTACCCACTCATTGCAGGCTAGATTGTTGCCCTTATTCCTACTGTTGGAATCCACTCACTCACACCCACTCTAGCGCATCCTAGCACCTTAGAGAATTTTGGGGGAGGGGAGAACTTCCTTTCCAAAATCCGGTATGTACAGGATATAAGGAACAATTATTTTTAGAAATGATTGATGGTGAATATTGGTACCATATGGCACCTGCATACCTTATTAGGCGAAATAATAAAAAAAGGGTAACAGTATCAATAAAAGCATAATGATCAATAACTGAAATGATGCAAAAATATGAAAATATAAGGAAATAAGCAATATCTCAACGGATTTATGGAATTAAAGGCCAAAATTGGAAATGAAGCCGGAGATAACTCTCACGCAGCCAATGAGCATTTTTACCAATTTACTAGACGCTGTGGGAACAAGTGAGGCAGGAATTCTGGGTTGCTGCTTGAGATTCCCATGCCCGCACATGCCCATGCCTAACTTGCCCAACATGGAACTCCGTCAAATCTCCTCCGATTGGGACGTTCTTGGTATCGTCAGAATCGTACGAATTAGCACTATTTTTAGATGTCAAATCCGTATCGAGTTGTCGCATGAATAAAAGGGGTTTTCTAATCATGGAAACGGGTATCTGAGCTGGCACTGCACATGGGTACAACGACATGGATAGCGCTTATACGTGGCAGTCGCTTGCAGGGTTTAACACAATTTCTGCACTACCCTCCTTCACCCCCATGCCTTTTTTTGTCTATGATGGCCTTTCTTTCTTCAGCATACATGTACAAACACTCAAACACCAGTTGCTCAGGGATCACCCAGCGTGTGAGCATCTAGCACACTAAGCGCCCTGGCCTGGCAATGTACCACTCCTATCGATGCCTTCCTGCTCCAATGTTACAACAGCATGACCATGTACGACATACTCAGGAACTGTTTACTGCCTTCAAATCTAACATTCCACACTCAGTATAAACAAATAGCTCCCAAACCCAAAAAAAATGCTTCAGCTCTTCCGTCTTTGCCAAATCAACAATGGTGTTTTCATCAAAGTCAACAAGGCAACTGTCACAACCGACAAATCCCAGGGCTCCATCAGCGGCGAATCAATGCTGATAGGCAAATCTGCTGACCCAAAACCTGATCCAACCAGCCCTCAATCCAATGTCTGGCCCCCTGCCCTATCAAGCAAGACTTTGCCAACAATCAGACCCTAGACCCTGCTGGCATTCCGACTTCACTTCCAGTTCCCGAGCCTTTGGTGCTCCTGGCATCCAGTCCCTCTGGTTCCTCCTAGACCTATAGTGCAACTCAGTCTCACATCCCTGCCTCCGCATCCTCCGCATATTTTGCATCTTCCATATTCCACACATCTTTCACATCCAGACCTCTGCCCACCTCTGCACCCCTGCCACTCCTGGTTGACCTCCACACCCTGTAGTCAGGTCACCACTCCCCTCCATACCTTTGCTGGCCATCATGCTGTCCTCATTTGTGACAGCACTGATGGACCACCCTCTGTTGCAGACTTATCAGCGCTGCACTGATTCCTGCATCCCATTTCGTGGACTTGTGTCGGTGCCATGTGCCAACCCCGCTTTTCCTTTGGCCTTTTGCCACTCGGCAGCATTCATTCATTCCTTGCTGAGTGCCTATTATGTTCACCCATTTCATTTGCTTAACTTGCCACTATTGGCACTTGATCTGTGTGCTATTGCACTTTCCTATTCATTCATTTAATCTGTCAATATTGGTACTTGATCTGCTTTGACTTTATTCATTCCTTGCCTCCCATTTCCTGGGTTCTTGTCCTTGGTTTAGTTTGACAAGTCCCTGCTCATTTCCGCTTATTTCCACACTGGACTGGCTGGTCCCTCTTTTGATTTCTCTTACCTACTTATACCTTGTAAATACTTTCAGGGACCTCAGTCTGAAATCAACTAGAGTACCCCCCCTGTCTGGTCTGAGTCCCTCCTTCTGCAAAGGGGCTTCCCCCCTTCTGAGTCCATGCTCGTGGAGTCCACGCTCCTCCTACAGGTCCACTCCACCTGCAAGTCTTGTTTGAAGTCCACTGTAAGTGTCAGTCTGTAAATACGGGATCTCCCCCAAATGTCAAGCTCAGGGCACAGCACTCCACCTGAGTCACTGAGGTCATGATCCCACTCTGCTAACCTTGAACAGCGCTTCTAGATGCGCTGCATATTTCCGCCTGCATATCCGCGCGCTCCAACAGACCTCTGCATCACCTCCGACCTCAACTCAGACAGAAACCATCCATCTTCAGTCTGTTTTCTGACAGTCTGCCCAACTCTGACAGTATTCCGACTCTGACAATATTCCAGTCTCTGACAGCAACCCAGAACATGCTGCAACTGATAGAACCATTCATTACATATGGGTAAGCATGGTTTGTGTTAAGCACTTCATATTTTCATTATGTGTGATGCTTTATCAGTGAACCCAACCTCAAGTCAGTTCGCAACTTGATCTACAAACATGGTCATGGCAAGGTCAACGGTCAGCACGTGCCATTAACATCAAACAGCATCATCAAGATTTGCTTCTGGTTATTACAGAATCAGTTAAAAGTATTGATTGCTGCATGCGATACATTTAGAAGTGGAGCGGTTGAACAGCTTAGAGTCCATGTGAGGAATTTGGGGCTGCTTGTTAAGGATGAGGATAGGGAGAAGGGAACAATTGAACTGTATGAGAAAGGGTATGGAAAGGATGTGGTGGGGATTGCGAAGGAAGCTATTACATATGGTGAGCCCACACGGTGACTCGCTGAGGATGGTTTCGCTGAGGATGATATGTTGTATCAGCTATGGGATGAGGGTTTGATGTGGTGCTCATTGATACAGCCGGGCATATGCAGGATAACGAGGTGAATTTACATTCTATGGCATATGTGTTCAGTCCATTAACTGATGTTTTCCTTCCCCTGAAAGCCCCTGATGAAGGCTTTAGCAAAGGTCTGAATACAGGAAGTGCTAGCTCGTAACTTCAAACTCACCTTGCCTCCGCTTGATTAGCTCGTCTCAACCAATAACCCGGACAATGTTATTTTTGTGGGCAAGGCCCACGTAGGCAACGAAGCAGTCAATCAACTCCAGAAATTCAATAGCGCTTTGAAAAACTACTCTGCAGCTTCGTCGGGGGCAGGGAAAGGCCGTGGAATTGATGGAATGCTCATTACGAAGTGGGATACAGTCAATGACAAAGTTGGTGCTGCATTATCGATGACATACGTGATGGGACAGCCTATTTTGTTTGTTGGCTGCGGTCAGGTGGGTCAACTTTGGGCTTTCTTCTCGTGGGTACGAGATTGACTCATTGGTTTTCTTCAGACTTACATGGATTTACGCCAACTTCGCGTTTCCCACATCGTTCTGGCTCTGATGAGCGATTGATATTGGAGTCCATTTTGTACGGTTGCCGAGCAGGGCCAGGTCAAATGTTCGCATCAAGGTCTTAAGTCACGTGACCTAGACGTTTTTTGAGCTCACCGCTATGCGTGTTTAACAGCTTCGGCGCTGTTGAAAACACAGTAGGCATCACATCAGACTCGTACCCAGTCGTTTTCACTCCGTGGACACGCGCACGGCACTGCAATGTGGAAATGTGACTACGTGGCTTTTGGGTTCAATGTAAAGTCACGTTCTGCTTTCAATACAAAGAGTCACATGCTACTCCGACAATTTGCGCGCGACGTTTCACATGAGGATCAGAATTGTTTTCTGAGATTGCGTCAAATACCTAAGTGTGCTGCTACTACCAATGTGTACCAGTCGAAGTGTTCGCGCGCAAATTGTCGGAGTAGCATGTGACTCTTTGTATTGAAAGCAGAACGTGACTTTACATTGAACCCAAAAGCCACGTAGTCACATTTCCACATTGCAGTGCCGTGTGCATGTCCACGGAGTGAAAACGACTGGGTATGAGTCTGATGTGATGCCTACTGTGTTTTCAACAGCGCCGAAGCCATTAAACACGCGTAGCGGTGAGCTCAAAAATGTCTGGGTCACGTGACTTAAGACCTTGATGTGAACGTTTGACCTGGCCCTGCTCGGCAACCGTAATTTTGTCCACCAACCAGATAGCCTTGTTTGTCGTCAGGTAATACTAGGTAATGCTGTGGTCAATTTATCCAGTGTCGAGTTCGTCGGGCCTGGTTCCACAGTGTCAGCACCTCCACCAAGGGCCGTGAACTCCCGAATGAATGTACATAGCGGCTTGATGTTAATAAACAACCAAAAGGTTTTCACAATCATAGCTGAACGCACACATCAGTCTAGTTATTTAAATTTCGGGGTCGGTGGAATGACAAGTACAGGTGCGCAGCACGAATGGATGCAAGGAATTATTAAATTTCGAAGTCAATGAAATGATAAGTACAGTGGGGGGTACGACAGAGCTCGGTTGTATATCTTCCCATTACTACCCAGCTTACGATGTCCGTCGGTAGAACTTTAGGGCTAATTGTCAACCGTCGGTAAATTTTTCCGGCGCTGCGCGGCGTGACCTACCGTCGGAATGAGTAACTTACCGGTTTGCCGACCCTACTAGTATACAGAGGGGAAGGGGTTATGTAAGCAGTAACGCTTTACATACACGTCATGTGAGCGTGCCTGGCACACCTCCTTTGTGTTCCATACGCTACACGTGTGCTGACTGCCATGTGGAACCGAATATTTAGCAAGAAAAAGCGTTGGCAAGGGTCTAGCAGGTCTTTCGACGTGGAGGAGGAGGTCGATCCTTTCCTACCTGGGTTAGCTTTTAGTGATCCGCAGTCGCCGATTTGTTTGTTCCCAATCCTGAAATTTGTCCTACTAGGGGTGGCAGGATGGTTGACGGGTTTGAACCTGGGTTAGCTTTTAGTGATCCGAATCGCTTGTCCTCAATCCTGAATCTGACCCACTAGAGGCCGTCAGCACAAGTATCCGCGCCGTTTGGTTCGGGGGAGTAGGAAGTTAAGCCCCAATCGTGGCAAATTGAGCATATCCGATGTTGGATCATCCAAGCCAACTGCACCCTCTCGGCCTCCGGCTGGCTATCCAGGGCCTTCGTCCCCTCTTACCCCTGAATTGGATTTCAACGATCCTCGTTCATCACTCAACACACATGTCGCTCTTGACGGTAGCAGAAGCATCTCCGCACGACTGGAACGTGTGGAACGTGAAGGCATCAACCTGAACATACCACCGTCTAGCTCAGGCAGTGATCGGAAGAAAACAATCATCGGTGCCACAAGACTAATGCTCCAGACTGCGGCTTTTGTTCTCAAATTTTCCCCAATCCCAAAACTCGATGAGATCCCGAACCTGCTTTTGACATGGTTGCAGGTTTATGAGGTCAGCCAACCCTCCGGTTTTGTGATCGATGATGATACATTTCCCATGTTCCCTCTATCCCCTCCCGATCTCCATACAGACTCTCGATGGCAATGACACAAATCTCAAAGAATTAAATGGAGAATTCCAAAAAGCCTACAAGACCATCCTACAGCCGCTTCAAATGTGGACCAGCCAAACAAGCGAGATCCCGCCTGAAGTGATTCTGCTCGTTGAAGACTTTCACTCGTTCGTAAATATACTTAGTGGACCGCTCTTTTAATCTTAAGCTTTACCAACAGGGACCTAGAAGAGCAGATTAAGCAGATTCAAATGCTTGCGAGTCGAAAGATCACTATGAGAGTGGTCTTAGGGGCCGACATAGCTAGGGAAATAAGCAATGTGAAGGCTTGTATCGCTAGTGCGCTCTCGCGTTTTGCGGTTTGTTGGATCCATGTTCACATCATTACATTTTGACCAAGGTGTCCACTGCAGACGATGGCAACCACTCTAAACCTCCTCAACACGATACGAGCATCTGTGAATAGTTCGTCTTGTTTGCTTGATTCCAGATTCCTTAACTCATTGCCATTTTCAGACGAGCTCTCGAAACTCCCCAAAGCCGATGCCGAGTATCACCGTGTGAAGAGCAAGTCAGAATGTCTGGAAACCACGCGGAGGGAAATTTGTAGCTCAGTTTTCAATCACCTGAGAGCGCCTAGGAGCCGATTTGTCTGGCTGCGTGGTTCACCCGGAACTGGGAAAACTGCGATATCGATCCACGTAGCCTCCATCCTTGATAGCCAGGACAACCTTGCAGCGTCTTTTTTCTGGGACAAGAACCGAAAGGGAACGGGACTTGATTCGATTGAACGCTTTCCCTCCACCCTTGCTCTGCAACTTGCGGCTTTCAATGCTGAGTACAAGAGTCTGCTCATCAAGCAACTTCGGCAGCCTGCTTCGTTGAAAGGTCTTCAGGGCTCTGCTGCAGAAAAGGAGATGAAAGCTTGGGTTATCAACCCGATGCATGAACTCAGGGCTATCTTGTCTTCGAGGGAGGATCGCTTTGTGATCGTCCTAGATGGACTAGATGAGTGTGGCGACCCAGAGTCACTCAGATCCTTGATGAAACTCATACTTCTGCTTGATGAGCTGCCTTCGACCTTTGCCATACTAGTCAGCTGTCGTCCTGAACCGCAAGTTGTCTCGGCTTGGGCACAGGCCAAAACACAGGAGCAGCCGATTGTGGTCGCTGGCGTGGATGTGAACAAGATTGCATGGGATGAGAACTTCTACACCATCCGTCGCATGGTTGAGGAAGGGCTTCAAGATTGTATCAGAGACTCGCCTTGGAAACCGTCCAACATGGACCTTGATTCGTTTACCTCAGCTTGCCGTGAACTACCGATTATAGCCTCAATCCGGATACGCGAGGTCCGCATGCAGGCTCACAGTGGTTCTGCCCTAAAATCGGAGTTTGAATACTTTCTCGATCTCACGGATGCACCCAAAGATCTCAACTCAGAGTATTTGCGATTAATGAGACGAGCTTATATGTCCCATTCCTCAAGCATTCGTCCATGGGTGATAAGGAATTACCAGGAAGTCGTCGGAACAATTATTGTGGCAAAGTGGCAACTCAGCGTGTATGACATATCGCAGCTCACTGGACTTCCTGAGGATGAAGTCTGCTCAACACTCAGACCTATTAGCTCAATAGTCGATCTTCCCTCGGACCGTGGAAAGGGTGTCAAATTCTACCATGCGACAGTGAAGGAATTCATTGCCGGAGTCCCAATCGGCAAGAAACAAGACAAACTCTTCTTTATCAGCGACAAAAATGGATATTTCCTCGGATTACGACTCCTTCGATTTGTGAATGATGCCATTACAAGGAACGGGTCCGACATCCCCACCGAACATCCCTTGGGTGATGAAAAGAGGTGGCAGCATTCTTTGAGCAAGAAGCAACCTTCGCACGTCCGATATGCATTCCAAAATTTGTTCGGACATTTGGACCCTTGGCTACTCTTTTCACCAGAGTCTAATGAATTGCAGCGAGAATTTCAACAATTCCTTGAACAGAACTTATTCTCATTCTGCTCGATGGTGTGGGGTGCAGCGGAATCAGTGTGTCAGCCTGGTTGGCATCACTTCCATGTGAGTGCTTTCTAAACCAATTGTATTCTGAATGTTTAAGATGTTGTAACGTCACTGTTGTACTCAGAATCACAAATCAATGAAACTCTTGAAAGAAGCTGAAGCTTCATTCGGGTATGGCAACTACATTCTCGGCGAACCTACTCCTTGGCATTATTATCGATCTAGCCTTCCATTTACTCCATCATCCTCACGACTTTACAGACTGTATGGGCATCTCTCGGATCCAGTTCGAGTCTTCAGTGTCGATGGCGAGTTTGCTGGTCACTTTATTCCCCTAAGCAAGGATGCACTCGGGGCTCGAAAGGTGATGAATGCAAAGTTGAGCGAGCCAAAGAAGGTTGATGAAGGGAACAACAAGGAGGTCAATTATGAAGCCGAACTTCTTGACAATGACATTTGCAGTGGCATTGTCACCTGTGCAGCGCTCTCGAGAGATGGTTGTTACGTTGCACTCGGATTCGGAAGTGGAATCATTGAGGTAGCTAGCATTGATGATCAATGCACGATTTATCGATTCCAAAGCATCCCTCCCAATCCTCCCATTTGGATCGAATTCATCATCGGCAACGTTCGCCTTGCCACTGAGGACACTGAAGGAAACATTGTCATTCTCGGTGATGGTACACATTCGAAGTTGGGTACTCTCCCCAGGAGCCATTACCCTGCTATAACTGCAGTATCGGATGCAGGAGCTTTAATTGTGCGAGTTCTGCGAAATCCCGAAGAGAACTGGTATGAGAAGGTGACACTCTTGTGTACTCCGGATGACCCCTCTATCCAACTTCTCGCATCTCCTCTTTCCACTCCTTCCCTTCTGCCCACTGCCCAGTCTCTCCAACACCATTCTAATCCATCCTTTCCTTCACGTCACATGGTCGGATTTTCTCCTAGAGGTCGATATGTTGGCGCTTATGATAGGAGCAATGCTTTTGTCTGGTCAACAGATTCATGCGAGTTGATTGCTCGATTTCATGTACAAGATTTCAGGACTTGGATAATTAACACCAGTGTTGTGCCTCCTTGCTCATATCTCATTCCTAACTCCACATCCCATCAGCCCTCCACTCTCTTGACCCAGGAAGAGGAGACACCTTCTGTACAGACTTCTGAACCAACTTCCGAGCATGACTTGGATGAGTCCTGGCTGCTGTGTCCTTTTTACGACCTCTCACCAAGCATGGGGGACAGCAACATGCCCTTTGAAGTCTACTCGGCAGCAGCAAGAGGAGTCTTGTTAAATTCACCCTCCCTTGATCCACCGCAGATCTGGCTGAATGGAAAGATCGAACTCATCCTCCCAGATGAATACCACCCAATCACACACTTTGCTAGCAATGGAGAAGCCTGGTATGGTGATCGACTGATCCATGCTCATCGAGGTGTTGAGGATGACAGCTTGGTATACCTCCCTCAGGCCAGCAAAGATGGAACTCGGTTCCTGGTTCAGGGCAAGATGAGAGTCCCTATTGTTGTCGATATTAGCCAAGTTATTTAGTGCACAATGGTCCATCCTTTCCTCTGTATTTGATTGTTTGATAATTATTTGACCTTACTATGTCAGACACACTGCTACCTTGGGATTGATACTATTTGGAAAGATCTAACCAGCTCCTGGCTCTGTGCATGAAAAGGATGAATCGCAGAACATGAAAACATTCCCAGCTTTGCAAGTGTAGTGCCCCTGTACAACTATCATTGAAAAAACTCAACATGCTCTTGTTATTCTGGATGGTTGGCTTGCAGACCATAGACTGCTTGCTGAAGCAACAGGAGCAGAGGACTGGGTAGAAATACCTGGGGGCTAAAGAAATAAGAATTTGGTTTGATTTCCAACCCATCCTATCCCTCTATTAATTTCCTCAATTCCCATCAGTTATTCCTCCGATAGCCTCTGGGCTTCTTCCCCTATCATCACCCTCATCATTGGTCTTTAATGATACTTCAAGATGACCCATTTTCAATGATTTTATTCCAGATTGTCATGACCGACAAATCCCAGGGCTCTGTCAGCAGTGAACCAATGCCAATAGGTGAATCCACCAACCCGAAACCCATCCTAACCAGCCCCCAACCCAATGTCTGGCCCCCTGGCCTATCGAGGGAGACTTGGTCAACAATCCGACCCCGGACCTTGCCAGCATTCCGACCTTACCTCCAGTTCCCGAGCCCTTGGCGCTCCTGGGATCCAGTCCCTCTAGTTCCTCTTGTCTCATCTCCATCTGAACCACACCCATCACTCCGCTATGTGGTCACAGCTATGCACTGCATCCAGACCTCTACCCACATCTGGACCTCTGCCCACATCTGTACCTCCACCCACCCCTGCACCTCTGATGCTTCTGGTTGCCCTCCACACCCTGTGGTCAGGTCAAAACTCCCACTCCCCTCAGGACCTCTGCTGGTCATCATGCTGTCCTTGTGACAGTACTGACAGATCTGTCATATGCATACAACTCTGGACCTCCACTCCTGATTCTGGACCTCCTCCTCCTCCAGAACTCCACATCCTCCACCACCTCCTCCCCCTGTTGGTTGTTGAGAGCCCACTCTACCTCTGGCTCCAACACAACATCCAATACTACCTCCGGTCTGACTCTGGTTACTCCGGGTCTGATCCCAACCTTGTACCTTCCAGACCAGAGCTTGTGATGCTCCACACCTCCAGCTCCAGACTCCTGTACTGGAACCCCATTGCACCTCCACCTCCAGAACTCTGGTCACATCTCTGCCCCTGGACTTTGACCTCCTCCTCCATCTTATCTCCTTGTATTCCTTATTTATTATGTCAAGCCAATATTCTGGACTTTGACTTCCAACTCCAGACCCTGCAGTCTCTACTGTATGGTGTCATTTAATCCTCTTGTTGCTTCTTCCTTATTTAGATGGCTGCTTCCTTTCCACATTAGTCAGCTGTCATTCCCCACAACCCACTCCACTCCTTCCCCTCTTGGCCTTGCCCTTTTGGGAAGCACCATAGAGTTCCAACCCTTGACCCTTGGGGTTGTTCCCTCATCCAGTCCCCCTTTGTCTCCTTCCAGTTCCCTTTGTCCTCTGACTCCACTCCTGTATTATTATATATACACTCTGTACATAGTTTCCTGTACCCCTAGTCTGAAATTGATGACTAGAGAACCAGAATCGACTGGATTGTCCCCCCAAGAGACTCCCCCTGCTAACCTGAAATTAAGGACCACCTTAGACAACAAACCAACGGCACAGCGCTCCACTTGAGTTGCTGAGGTCAAGGTCCCTCCTTCCTGAGTCCCTGCTCCGCTTCTGGACAATTACATGCTCTATAACAGGATCTCTGCTTTGTGGACTCATGTCAGCACCGCACTGATCCTGCTTATTTGCAGACTGTATTGGTACCATGCACTGACCTCTGCTTTTCCCCTCTGGCCATTTTTGTCACTTGGCAGCATACCATTCATTCCTTGCTGAGTGCCTATATTGTTCATCTATTCATTCACTGTCATATCCATCCATGGCCATCACCCTCCACTACCTCCATTCCTTCTGGATCACCACTCCTTCATCACTAACCTTGGAGCCTCTGGATTCTGCAACCACCTCCAACTCCCCTGATGGTCACCACCCCCTCAATCCAATACATTACCTATGCCTCCCTAAGTACGGAGCCCTGAAGGCCTCCAGACAGCTCTGACGTCTGCTAGTGCACTCCTGCCTCCACTGGGAAATTTAGTTGCTTGCCCTGCAAGCCTACCTTTGGGCTGATCCCTCCTTTCCATTTCTGGGTTATTGTCAGGGCACGCTGCTCCACTCCACGCCGCACCCTCCTGTTGCTCCTCTTTCCTTCTTCTCCCTCTTTCCCTTTCTCCTTTGTCTTCCTTCTTTCCCTCTCTTCTTTCCTTTCTTTCTTTATATGGACGACCTCTCCCCTTACCCATGTAGCATGGACGCATCTGGCGCTGAGTACTCCG